AGGTCACTTCCTGCTGGGCTACAATTGAGAGTGGGAAGTTTCTGAAAAACCCAATATCCATAAACTTGCATTTCTGACAGGCCTAAATCTCTGGAGGGTGGAACCCATCAAACGTACTGAAGCCCCCCCTGCTCTAAATTTACTACTTTATAAACATAATTTTTGCTTTCCGTCAGGACGTACAGTGATAAATATGCTCCTGTAGTGGATACACAGAGGAGTGTGTGAAGTGCTGGACAGATTCATCCATTCTGTTCCGCAGGGAGAGATTGCATCTGCTGCAATTATTGATATGGATGCAGTGGTTTGTGTTATCTCTGTGTTACACGGGCCAGATTTGTTTATATTTGAGAGGGCTTCTGTTTGTGTTGACAACATGCAGATGATGAATGGAGATACAACTTCATGTGCAAAAAATGACACCCACACATGTATGCAGTTCAATACTTGCTCATTTGTTGATTGCTGTGTGCATTGATTTGGTACCTATTTAGCTGGGTCTTAAAGTTAGTCACATAAAATACCACTTTTATAGCATTACTAAGAGATTCCCTGTATTATGAAACACTTTTCTGGTTTACACATGTCTATGCATGCGTCTGAGGACTCGGGTTCCTGATGCAATAGAGGAAGGAGTCGATGAAACTCTGGGCTCTCCGTGAATGACTGATCCAAAACTATTTTTAAGCTGGTTCAAACAGGTTATTTTATGGTGTGTGTGTGCACATAAGGTGGTGTAATGTAGTTTACTGATCCTTTGTATAAGCTTAAAAGTTTTTTAGGCGATTTTTCTAAAAATATAAATGTATTTCTGTACCTGACATTAATATTAGTGTCTTGAGGTATCATTGTATTTTATTTTATTTTATTTTATTTTATTTGCAGACTTTAAACTAGCTTGAATCATTCTGGGTATACTGTTGTTTTCTGCTTTATATGTAAATGAATGAGTGTTTGCATTTTTGTGTGACTCATGTCTGTTTGCTTGTATATAGCCAAGGATTTAATTTGAGTCTAGTGAAGCCACCACCTTCTCTAGCAGTCACTTAATCCGTTTATTAAGCTCCAATCAGCCTCAAGATCTTTAGAGCCACTGGATTCTGAATGGAAGCTCTGCCATACAAATAGATGGATGACATGGCGCCATACAGCTTAATAAAAAGCACTGTGCTTTACTAATCCACAACTTCAAAAGATTTTATGCACTACCTTGACTTACAAAAAAGCAAATAATGTAATCTGTAAGATGGTTTTGAAAGAAGTCTTTTATGCTCACCAAGGCTGCATTTATTTGATTATAAATACAGAAAAAAACATATTGTGAAATATTATTGCAATTTAAAATAATTGTTTTCTATTTTAGTATATTTTAAAATAAAATGTATTCCTGTCATGGCAAAGCAGAATATTCAAGCAATTTTACTCCATTCTTCAATATCAAACCATAATACTTTTTTTTTGTACCATAAAACAACATTTATTTGTAATAATAAAAATGTGTGCTATCACTTTTTTTTTCAGAAACAAGTCACAATTTGAATGACCAAATTCATACTTTTTTTTAATTAGGTTTTTCATAGTTTTATCAAAGGATTGTTAGAGAGCGAATGAGTGGTAGATGGTAGAAAATGGTCAGAAATGATTTATGATTTTATTAATTTCCCTGACTTATCCAGGCTCACAATTTTTAAAACCTCCAAAGTTTCCAGGTTTTCCATGACCGTGCGAACCCTCTCCATCTGACATTTCTCTGGCAGCGGTCAGTCATGACGGAACATCTTGTACTTGTGGCCTCTTTGTTTATTTGCTTGTGTTTCTCTGTTTGTTTGGGCTGTGCGAGTCGAAATGGGCCCCCCTTCAGTCTCGACAGGATCACTACAGCAGGGATGTTGCCATTTGGTCAGTCAAGCATCCATCTGTGGAGCTCTCTGTAGATCAGACATTTGAGCCTGGGCAGAAGGAGTGTTTCAGGGTCTCTAAGGAGACATCTCATATACCCTGTGCTCTCTCTCTCTGGCATCTGCTGGGCCGTCAGTCACACTCCCAGAAATCTCAGCTGCCAATCAGTGCTTCTCCTGGCCCCAGGCAGACAGGCTTTGGCGGACTCTGGTTTGACCGTGGCCCCTGACTGCTCACTAATCAGCTAGCGCCAACAGTGAAGGTCCTTTTGCATAGAGATTTCTCATTCCCTCTTCTCATTGCTTTTTGAAGTTACTTTCTTGGCTGATAAAAGTGGGACAGTGACAACAGAAATGGAGTAAGGGGAGGTCTTATTTACACCTTATGTCTAAGTCATTATCACAACATGCCTGCCTTCAGGACAAAACAAGAGAATCTACAAAGAAAAATCCCCAAACACTGCCTATTGTCTGCAGCTGCATTACTGACAAAGTAATGAGGACTTATGCATCTGCTCTATATGATAGGGCATACAGCTCAACAGCGCAGGAAATCCATGAGGAATAAAGCAGAGGACCGCTTTAATGAAATGTTATCGACAGATCCCCACTAGCCCAGCTTTCCCCAATGAGTCTGTATAAGGATATCTCTTATTTTCAGTAGGTTCAGACATTGGAGTGAAACCCTTGACTTTTAGATGCACTGCACTATTCCTAAATTATTTTTAAATCAAATGATCCCAAAAACCTTGTGATAGAATATGTTCAGTTAAGAAAGGCTGGTTCATTTTAAAGTAATATTAATATTTTATTTTCCTGAATCTTTCAATATATCAGCCTTTACTTGAACCCTCATGTTATCCCAGACTGAATGCTGGAACCACTACGACTGAATCAGTGAGTTGAATTCAAGAACCTGATCAGGTTGATTTGTGAAATTTTTTTAAATGGATCAGCAGATACACTGAAAAGATCAGATTTGATCTTTTCACAAATCAGACATCACTTTTTGCAATGAGGGTGAATAAATGATGAAATGATACATTTTTGAGTGAACTTTTCTTTATATACACGGGGTTTCCCCTCGTCTTGCAGTGGTCCTTTCTTTTGTCCTCCCTGTCTTTTCAGTGTATTTTTCTCTTTATAATGTGGTTAAATAATCCAAATAATAATTCAATGTTCTTTCCTTTAAAACGCTTTCCTTACAAATCTAATTGAGAGTACACAAATGGATGTGTGTTCTTCTGAATGCCCCCCTCTCTCTCTCTCTCTCTCTCTCTCTCTCTCTCTCTCACTCACTCACTCACTCTTTATTCCTGATCTCCTGTAGAGGTCACTGTATACCAGTCTTCACGTCTCTTTGTCTCCATTCACATTTGTCTCATTTTGGCATCTGAGATTGGACATGTTGTTTGTTTGTTGTTTGCTTACTAGCATCTTAATTTTTATTTTTCCAAATAATACAAGACCATGTTTATCCTTTCAATCGTGATTTTGTTTTATGGGTGGAGGATTTAGTACCTTATGGTTTTGTTTTATAAGTGGAGGATTTAGTACCTTGAGCTGCTTTAGGGAGGTTATACTGCCAAAAACCAAAAGCATCAGTGTCCCCTCCCCTCATTTTTACCGGCCTTTTGTTTAGTTTCTAAGAAGTACCTCTAAGTCCTGGGTTTTTGCCAAGCCTGAGCAATGCGGGGAGCCGAACTACAACAGGGATGCAATTATCTTGTATCTTGCCAGTTCCTTTACAAAATAGAAGAGACTGGTTCTAGTTGTCACATTTTTTTTTACTAATTTTTCATTTCTCATGGTCCATTTCTGTATAGGTACAAAAAATAAAGTCTTGGCTACAATAAAACATTTTTGCCATTATTATTAGAATCGATATTGAATCGACCACATTTTAAAAAACGATATATCGAAAAATCGATTTTTTTTGCCCAGCCCTAATTATTGCCCAAGAAAAAAAGCACAGTTTATTTAACACCTGTTGACCTCTTGTTAAAATTATATTGGTGCTAAAATGTCACAATGGTAGCCTGCCATTAAATAGCCTGTTATAGACTTCTCACTAAGCACAATTTAAACAGTAAAGCAATTTGTGACCCTGGACCACAAAACCAGTCTTAAGTTGCTGGGGTATATTTGTAGCAATAGCCAAAAATACATTGTATTGGTCAAAATGATTGATTTTTATTTTATGCCAAAAATCATTAGTATATTAAGTAAATCATGTTCCATGAAGATATTTTGTACATTTCCTACTGTAAATAATATTAAAAACTTAATTTTTGATTAGTAATATGCATTGCTAAGAACTTCATTTGGACAACTTTAAAGGCCATTTTCTCAATATTTAAATTTTTTTGCACCCTCAGATTCCAGATTTTCATTCTAGTTGTATTTCGGCCAAATATTGTCCTATCCTAACAAACCATAAATCAATGGAAAGCTTATTTATTCAGCTTTTTTTCCGAAAAATTTACCCTTATGACTGGTTTTGTGGTCCAGGGTCACATTTGTGAACTGTAGAATTCTTTGTAGAATGTCTTTGTACTAATTATGTACACATATGTCCCCATGTAAACAAGCAAAGATACCTCATGGGTTATACACCAGCGATGTATTGAAAGATAAGTCGTGGGATTAGATTTCAGGCCACACGGATCTATTTTACATATCTCTATCAGTGGTGCCATTTGAAAATGTGATGCCATCTGGTTATGATGAAAGATGGGGTGGGCTGCACAGGCAAGAAAATATCATCTGAAGCTAGATGTTCAGCAGAGAGGGCTGTGTGCTCTTGATATGAATGAAAATTAATAAATAGTCAAGAGCATTTTAAGAGGATTTGTGCCACATGCAGGTGCTCATTTTAATCTTATATAAGTGTTTAAATGCATAAAGATACAAGCATTAAAATGCTGAACATGATTCTGTTGATGAAATGTAATCAAGGCCTCCATCCACATTATATGGAGAGCCAGTAAAGTAGATGTGATCTCTACTTGGTGCTTAGAATAGATTTCATGAAATACCACAGCAAATTAATTGCATAATTTTTAAAAGGGTGAAAATTAACCCGCCCTCTTCTTCCTCTAGGGGATTGACTTTGCGGCCTTTACGGGTTACATGTTCCTGGGAATCTGTCTGGTGCTGCTGACCTCATTTCCTTTTTTGAGAATGCTGTACTGGAATAAGAAACTTTACAACAAAGAATCCAGCGAAATCGTGGGTGAGTATTAATTTATTCTGCTCTGTTCCTACGCACCAGTTTTCCCAAAATCACATGGAACTACCCTCAAGTGTATGCAGAGCCACTCTGCTTTCCTTCCTTTTTGATTCAAGCTCTTTTGTTCTGACATGTGCAATGAAAAATTAATTCATAATCCCATTGACCTAGATCTTAAAGAATGTGCAATCATTTCTAAAAACCATAGAGTGGTTGAGGGCACACTTGACCTTCCCTTGTTGACAGCAGTTCTTCCTATATGGGTATGTGAATGAGTGTCATACACCGTTCTACGCTATTTACACCAAATCTCATATCCTATCCAAAGCTCCTTACATTTGGCCTTTGAGCCCCAGTGACTGGGATAGGCACAGCCTACCCTTTCACGAATGATTAGAACCTCAGCAATACATCATTTTTTCATCCGCCCCTGCTCCTCCCCCAACCACAGCAAATTAATTGCACAATTTTTAAAAGGCTGAAAATTAACCCGCCCTCTTCTTCCTCTAGGGGATTGACTTTGCGGCCTTTACGGGTTACATGTTCCTGGGAATCTGTCTGGTGCTGCTGACCTCATTTCCTTTTTTGAGAATGCTGTACTGGAATAAGAAACTTTACAACAAAGAATCCAGCGAAATCGTGGGTGAGTATTAATTTATTCTGCTCTGTTCCTACGCACCAGTTTTCCCAAAATCACATGGAACTACCCTCAAGTGTATGCAGAGCCACTCTGCTTTCCTTCCTTTTTGATTCAAGCTCTTTTGTTCTGACATGTGCAATGAAAAATTAATTCATAATCCCATTGACCTAGATCTTAAAGAATGTGCAATCATTTCTAAAAACCATAGAGTGGTTGAGGGCACACTTGACCTTCCCTTGTTGACAGCAGTTCTTCCTATATGGGTATGTGAATGAGTGTCATACACCGTTCTACGCTATTTACACCAAATCTCATATCCTATCCAAAGCTCCTTACATTTGGCCTTTGAGCCCCAGTGACTGGGATAGGCACAGCCTACCCTTTCACGAATGATTAGAACCTCAGCAATACATCATTTTTTCATCCGCCCCTGCTCCTCCCCCACCTCTGACGATCACATTGATGCGTTTAGTCTCTCTGTACCCTTCGGGCTGTTTTCCCTGATATTTCCATTATTCTTATCGGATGAGCCTGTTCTGAAAGCCGTAACGTGTCTGTATTAAATACATAAATCCTGTCATAGATGACCTCTCTCAAGACCTAGACTTTATGCACAGTTTTCAGATAGGACATGTTAGAGGGTCAGTGATTGTCTGGTTAGCATGGCCCGTTTAGCCCCTGCTGGTAGATGTTGTAACTACACCATCTGGAACCACAAAGCCACTGTGCATGTTGAAGAAATTATATAATATTTTTTTAAGAAAATTGTTATATATGAGCAATATCACATGAGTAGATGTGAGATATGGATGTATATTGGCACGGCTGATAATTACAGCATGCCGATACTCGCATAACTCACTGTGAGCCATAACTCACAGCTATGAGTGTGATATTGCTCATATATATATATTAAAAAAAAAAATATATATATATATATAATTTCTTATGTAAATACATAATATATATATATTAAAAAAAAAAATATATATATATATATAATTTCCTATGTAAATACATAAGAAACAACAACAGAGTGTCTTTAAAAACCCGCTTTTGTGCAGAACTACTTCCTTCCGCCACAGATTCAAATCTAAAGTTGTGCAGTTTAACAGCTGAGCCCAAGCCTCCGTTACTAATTCCAAACCGTCACATTAGAACTAGTAACGATGGAACGTTGAGTTGCTTCACTGAAAGCTTATTGTATTACTGTATTAAAAGGTGTATTATGTAGAGTCGAGTATTATGAGAGAGAGATTGACTGACCGAGTGTAATTACCTGCATCTGATACGGCGTTCATTCTTTAGCTCAGTCTCATATTCACAATAAAACATTGGTTTGAATGTCCACCGAGGAAGGCTCAGGCTCTTTGTCATACTATCCTTTCATCTGTTAATGGTGATTTCCGATGACAGCTCTGCTCAGTGCATTTGTTGCCTGCATCTTACAAGCTGTTGTTAAAAGTAAAAATAACTTTGCTCTGGAACAAATAATAGATTATTCAGACTAAAGACTGCCAGTTAGATTTACCCAAAACGAATTATATCTCCCGTTTAAACACTATAGAGGCATCAGAGCCAGCGGATCTGGCCGAGGTGAGGCTGCTCTCAGTGGGTTCATGAGCGCTGAATGGCTGCTGACGCCCTGGAGCTCACATGTCCAAAAACGCTGAAGCAAATTTTCAAATAGACATTATCTTTATTAACAAACTGCATATTTGAACTATAAACAAGTACATTCTCACCTGAAAACCTCTTAAAACTGCATTCTGTGACACAAAAACAGTAATATTTTTAAAATTACAGTGGATTTGTGTATCTGCCATGACACTTGCTGTGAGAACTAGCACAAGTGGAGTGATAGTTACAAACAGTGAAACAGTTGTTGGAGCTCCGTTCTGCTATCACTCTAATATCGCACTCTTATCAGCCAACCAGATTCGAGGACCAGAAAGAACTGTTGTATACTGTGTATATGTATAGTATGTATACATATGTATATATATATATATACACACACACACACATACATACATGTATTTATATTTTATTTACTTATTTAGAGTGCTACAGCGCTAATGAACTGTGGGCTTGTAACAGTTTGTTCTTGTATAATTAGTCAAATTTACAGTTCAGGTGATTAACTAAAAAAACTCTGCCCAGGCTTCCTATGAGCAAAGATAGCACATTTTAAATTGTAATTTCAGGTATCAAGTGTTTTAAATTTACAATATAAAAAATTTTCTTGCTATCTACAAAAATACATCCTAACAGGGTGCGTGTTAGAGCATGCATATTGTTGTACTGTTTGGAACAGGGCACATTTAGCCCAAGTGTGAAGGTGCTAACACCGCTAGAAAGGCCATTAAAGCCATCGTAGACATTGACAGGTCAATACCACTCTCACCTAGGGAGTCATCGCTTCATCACCGCCTCCACTGAGAGCCCAGGCATGCTCTGTTCTTTCCCTCTTCTTCCACAGGCAGGATTTATATACTTCCTCATCATTTCTCCCATTTTGGCAAGCCACTAAAATTAATGGACAAACAAATTTCCTCATCTTCACAGACTTCACACTGACAAAATTCTGTCTCACCCCCTCGAGTCTTTCCAAAACCTGTATGAGTCTTTCTTTCTTTCTTTCTTTCTTTCTTTCTTTC